ATTTCTGTGCACAGTCCTGCATCTATACTGAAATGCAGCACCGCAGGAGCAGAAGCTCCTGATTCACCTCATCCCTACCGCTTTAGCTCCAGCACCCAGAACAGTGCCTGACACACAGAGGCACTCACAGATATTTGCTGAACGAATGGATACTAGCGGTTGTGGAGGTTTTATTCCTTTCCCGTTAGTCAAAACATAATCTGCTTGGAATAATGATACCTTAGGGCAGAAGACAAAGAATCACTTATTTGTGGAATCAAAAAAAATGATATGAATGAACTTATTTGCAAAATAGAATAGACTCACAGATATAGAAAACAAACTTACGGTTACCAAAGGGGATAGCCGGGGCACGGGAGAGGGATAAACTAGGAGATCGGGATTAATATATACACACTACTATATATAAAATAGATAATCAACAAGCTGTACAGCACAGAGAACTCTGCTCAATATTCTATAATAATCTATATGGGAAAAGAATCTGAAAAAGAATGGATATATGTATATGTATAGCTGAATCACTTTGCTGTACACCTGAAACTAACACAACATTGTAAATCAACTATATTTCCACCAAAAAATATTTTTTTAAAAAAAGGTTACTGGGGTCCTAACCTTCCAAGTCCTTCCCCGTGGTGAGTGCACCCTGCAGGTAATCTGTGTGTTTCCCTTTCACTCACATTATCTCATTCAGACATCACAACAAACCTTTTAGGAAAAAGATTATTCCAGCTTTACCAATGAAGAACTAAAATCAGGACGTGTCAGGACTCGAACTGGTCTAAACAAAATGCAACAAAAAAAGGTAAAAGGAAAAAAAAATATTGAAAAATTTTCCTCTACCCTTCCAGGTTCTTTTGGCTGATCTAATAATTATATTGAAATGAAACAGATTAACAGGAGAAAACTAAATGGAATTTCCTATGTATGGGAGGCTCACATAGACACGAAAGGGTCAAAGGCAGTCAGGCTATTGAGGCTTATCTGCCTTCCTGAGCTAAGGAGGAGGGGATGGGGGTCTGGAACTTCAAATGGGAGGGAGACAATTCATAGGACAGTGGAAAGAGCACATGTTTGGTAAACAAACGTCTGCCAAGCCAGGCAGAGACAATGGGACGCAGAGGCACAC